AGGACTTTTCAAGTAATCATGTCGCAGTGGGTTAACAGTGAATCTGATGAGGATTTTAAGGGGTAAATTGACCTAAATGAGGGTGACAGAGCTCTTCCCGGTCCTCGAGGCAGTGGGGTTGCCCTCCCTCCACCTGAGTTGGGTTTCAGTGGCCTCTCTCTAACAGGGCGTCTGTAACTCCCACCTGGTGTTGGAAGAGCCATCGTCAGTCGTGCAGCTAGATTACAGCCAGAAGGTCCTGCTTGTGTCTACCTCGCACAGGAGCCTGCTCTTTCACACCGAAGAGAAGTCTGTCAAGCAGATCGGAACACAGCCGAGGAGAAGGTACACTGCTCTGGTGTCCCACTTGGTGGGGACAGAGGGGCTGAGTCTCCCTGGGTTTCTGGTTTGCCACACACAAGCCCTTGGCAGCGCTTAAGCGTGGAGTTCCTGGTGGGTCCCCAGGATCCCTCGTCCCAGCATCAGAAAGAGGAAGAGTTCGTCCGTCCGCGTGTGCGGCCACGCTGGCATGCGTGCCGGGGTGTGAGACCCCTCCGAGGTGGTCCGCTCTGTGTCCACGCCTGTGCGGGCACTGCCCACCACTGCCCTGGTTGCAGGTCTGGGACAGGGAGCTCATTCCCAGTCAGCCCGTGCTTGCCGAGCGCCTCCGCCCTCTCTGCGCTGTGCAGGCCGCGGCAGCCGTGGGGATGACGGCAGGTGTGGCAGATGTGAGCATGGAAACCTAATAGACTCGGCAGAAAAGTCGTTGACAGTTGTGTGACCTGCTGTGGTGCAGGGTGCAGGCTGCTGTCCAAGTGGAAACAGGCCTCCAGGCCGGCCTGGGGGTGAGGGAGACTTCCCGAAGGAGTGGGCCGGAGGGAGGGTAGGGGAGGGCCTGGAAGGGGTGAGGAGTTCCAGGCTGGCAGATTCTCCTCCTTTGCCTGTTGCCTGAAAGGAAGACAGTGACAAGAAGGGTTAGGCCAAGTCCATCTACCTGCCAGCCACATGGGAAACGGGGCGGAGCCATGAGTGACCTGCAGTTGGCAGTCCCGCCCCACCGGAAGCAGCTGTGGCGCTCTGTGGGCATCTGTGTGGGGTGCTGGCCATGGCGGGGATGGGGGTGGAAGGGTGGAGTGGAGTGGGGGGTTGGCCCCTCCTTATCCTGAGGAGAGGAGGGGACAAGTCAGGTCTGGGATGGGGAAGATGTGCGGGAGTCATTGGAGTTCCCAGTAGAGGGACCCCCTTGTCCTCAAGAATCGGATGGGGTGGGGTTGGGTGGCAGGCGGCTGGGGGAAGTAGGGGGGCGGGTGCTGAGGAGAGTGGAGGGCAGGCCGACTTGACAGCATGGGGACTGGCAGGTGCAGACGAGGCCCATGCAGGCCGGTGGTACCGTGAGGGTGGAGAAGGTCGGGTGAGGTCAGCCGGGTGGAGCCAGCCTCCGGTCGCATGGCACCCGTTATTCTGTGTCCTGTCCTTCACAGCAGCGCAGTGCAAGTGTGTTCTCTGTTCTGCGTGGCAGCCTTTAGCTGTGAAAAGACACTGCTGTGCCTCCCCTTGGCTTCCACCATGCCAAGTACCCCCTGAAGCCCGTCGACAACTGGCCTGTCTGTAGCAGTGACCTCACTGGCCCTGGAAGACACAGTGGACTCTGTGGCTTGGGCTTCGTGTTCTCGGGTTGGCCCTGATTGCCCTCTGCCCATGTCCCATGCTTCTGCCTGACGTTTTGTCCCACTTGTCTGTCGGTGTCTCACTGCAGTGTCTGTTTGGAAGGAAGGTGGAGCGTAAAGAGGGGTTTACAGACAGCCACCTTTCACACACGTCACGCCCAACAGTCGTCTCCCCACACGGGGCCCTCCAGCCCCTCGTAAAACGTGGCAACTTCCGTCAGCCTCTCCTGGTGCACCTGTGCGGTCGAGCCCTGGCCTGGACTGTGCCAGGCACTGTCTCAGGATGCAGGGACAGATAAATGCGTCCCCATCCTCTGAGGGAGGTGTATTTTATTAAGCCTTAGAGAAGTGGGGGATGCCACTGAATAAATGGAAACCTCTGTTTCTTAAAGCCTGTCTTTCTGTTCTGTGCTGGTTTGAATTAAAAGGACGTCACCCCTGGTCACCTGGTGCCTGATGATCTGAGGCGGAGCTGAGGCGGTGATGCCGGCGCTGGGGAGCAGCTGCAGATACAGATGAAGCTTCACTCGCTGGCTCACTACTCACCTCCTGCTGTGTGGCCTGGTTGGGGTCCCCTGGCTTAGACTTTAAATCTTGGAGTTCTAGTGTCCAGCACAGAAGGACATCAGCAGGTGTCGCAGAATCACACTGCAGGCGGACAGTGGCCAAGCGAGGGGTTTAGGACAGTCTGCACCTGCCTCTAGCTCGTTATCCCCCCAACTTCACAGCCTTCTCCCGACCCACTCGCCACACATTTCAGCAGTTCCTAAGTGCCAGCCACCCGCCAGGACCCTGCTCAGTGTGTCCCTTTCCCTAGAATGCCCGTCCCCTTTTCGCAATCTGGTAGTTGTCCCTTAGTGTCCCAGGCCTAGCTTCTTATGCCCCAGTCAGAACGTGTCCCCTCTGTCTGCTTGTCCATGAGCAGCTCCGTGAGCCTCAGGCGTAGCGCCTCGGGGTGCTGTCATAGTTGTTCAGGCACATGTCTGCCGCAGTGTGTCACAGGGCAGGACCAGGATCTCGTCTCATTTATCTTTTATGTCGCCCACAGCACCGAACAGTGTCTTAACGCAGGAACTCACTAAATGTTTGTTAGAATGAATGATTAGGTACCTAAGGTGAGCAAATCAAACTGGAAGTGACAAGAGATTTTTAGGGGGACCTAAAATAGAGGGAAAAGAGATTTACAAATTGGATCAACAAATAGAAATTGGTTTGACAGCAGAGGCAGGAGGAAGGCGTATGGGCTGCCTTGCTCTGGTTCCTTTGTCTCTGTCTGTAGAATCCCCCCAGCGGCAGCAATGACGCACGATGCTGATTATAGAGTTGTCTGTGAACATTCGGTTAGTCTGACAACCTTTGTTTGATATTTGTGAATTTGATATTCGATATCCTCCCTGGACCCTATCCAGAGGGATGCCGTTACTGAGGTGCCAGAGAGGCCCAGTGAGATACTGAGGCCCAGATAACTTTGTGGGACTGTGGGGATGGGCCCTGGGGGCTCGGGCGTGCCACCGTGTGCAGTGAGGGCGAGGAGAGAGGCTCAGCACAATGAACACGTGACGGGGACAGGAGCACAGTTAAAGATAGCTCCCTGCCACAAGAGCTTGCAGTCTCATGCACGGCAGTCGAGCAGGTTCGGGGAGACTTGCAATGTCACAAGCATTGTTTTTTGTGCCTTCACAGATTATGTCATTTAATCCCTACTTCAACCATTGAGATGGGAGTTATTATCCCTGGTTTGCAAATGAGGAAACAGATCTAAAAAGATTACACTCCACATAGCTATTAAACGTCAGGGCCGAAATTGGGCCCAGGAGTCAATCTAAAGCCAGGACTCTTTCTACTGTTCACAATCAGAGAAATTTCTGCAGAGAGAAGCAACAGATTTAGGATTGAGCCGAAATTCTTAAAATTTGGACTCCAGTGGAAGTCTGGGGCTTGGCAAAGTCGCGGCGTGATGAGAACTCGCAGATTGTTGATGGGGGTGGGCCGATGGGATCACATTGAAAAAAGTTTGAAATCGTCTCCAGACTTCAGTTTGCTCTTACTCAGCAACCCAGCAGTTGCCCAACAACCCAACAATTCCACTTCTGGAATCTTCTTGACAGACTCTTAGACTTGTGTACTAGGAGGTTATGTGCAAAAAATGCTCATAGCACTGTTGTTCCAAATGAAAAAGTAGAAGTAATTCCAATACCCATCAACAAGAGGGTAAGCAAATGGTGGAATACTATACAGCAGCGAAAATGAACGTGCTTCTTTTTTTGTCGACGAGGATGAATCTTAGAAATGTGTTGTCAGAAATGTATATGAGAAACATACTGGTTTTTTTACAAATGAAAGACAGTACTAAATTATGCAGTGTTTAGGAGTGCGTGAATATGTGGCTGAACTATCAATAAAAGCAAAGGAATAATAAACACAAAATTCAGTCTAGCAGCTGCACGTGGAGAGCGGAGGGGACAGGAACTTCTAGGAGTGTGACAGAGCATTAGCAATGCTACCTGTGGTTTACTTCCGAAGTCGAGGGGTGGGCTCCCAGTGTACAGTTCATTATTAGGCTTCATAACTTATATATTACATATATTCTTCTGCTCCTGTTAGATCATTCACGATTTTAAAAGCAGAAAAATACCACGCCTGGGGACCAGAAGGGAACTTCGGTCCCTCTGATGGTTTAGAGGGCCGCCTCGATCCTGGGCATGAAGCTCATTCGTGGGGGCGTCGGGGAGCCCGGCAGTCCCGCGGAGGGGGAGCAGCATTCCAGAGCAGGGGAGGCCGGGCAGACCTGGACTTACCCCTCCGGCCTCAGTTTCTTCCTCTCTCCAGCGGGAGTCGTAACACGCGCCTCACAGGGTGGTCGTGAGGACTGCGTGAGCGCGTGCCGAGAAAGCACCAGGAGCTCGAGCCGCGGGGACGGCGCAGTCCGTAAATGGTGGCCTTGAAGCCAGGATGTGTGCTCGTCAGGGCGCACTCTGCCGAGGGTGCCGTGAGGAGCGTAATGGACCTTGTCCTCTGTGGGCACAGGGAGGACAATAGGACAGTGTGTTTTAATTAACAGGAGAAGCGTAAAAAAGGGTTTGGAAAACGCAGTCTTGCTGAGGCTTAGCTGGAAATTCCTGTCGCTGTTAATATCGGGGTTGACACGATCACTTTAAATAGTCTGTTTCTGTTTTTTTCTTTTTTTTCCTTGTAATTTCAGCACTGGGAAATTCGGGGCTTGTTTTATACCAGGACTTTGCAAGCAAAGCGATCTGACCTTGTACGCGTCACGGCCGGGGCTCCGGCTGTGGAAGGCTGACATCCATGGGACGGTTCAAGCCACGTTCATCCTAAAAGATGTCTTTGCTGGAGGAGTCACGCCTTTCGAACTGTACCCGCGTCTGGAGACCTCCGACAGGGGCAGTGGCAGCTTGCCTGAGAAACACCTGGGGCTCGTTTCGTGCTTCTTCCAGGAAGGCTGGGTGTTGAGTTGGAACGAATATAGTATTTACCTCCTAGACACCATCAACCAGGTAAGCGAAGTGATCGCACCACATCTTGGTGTCTGAGGCAAGGGGCTGCTTGTCCCCGGCTCCCTCTGAGAACGACAGAGGACCAGTGTAGGCTCGGATGCTTTACTTTGCCCTCCGGGCCAGTCAAGGAAAGCGAATGAAGGTTTGATTATTTTTGCGGGTTCAGCTTTTTGTTTTGCAGCAGTCCTACCTGCTGCTAAGAGATCTTGTGAGTTTTTTTGTATTTAAGCACAAAATTAAACTGGTCCTTTATAGTCTATTTGGCTCTTGTTTTCTTCTGACTACCAAATGACTATTCAGTGAACACTCAGGGCAGAAACGGTAACGGAGTCACTCCGAGGCCCTCCCGCGGACGACGCGGAGCAGAACAGGGTTCTCTCTCCAGCTTGCTTTCCACCCTGTTTTTTACCCAAACAGCCATATTATTTTGCCTTCTTTTTTTTTTCATTTCACTTAGTGTTGTATCTTGGACGATTTTGCAACATCATCGAGTCAAGGCAGGAAACAGTTTCTGCTGGAACCAGGATGGTGACGGATTATCACCATTAGAGTCAGGGGAACCTAAAAAACTTTCCTTGCAGTTTCTCCTTAAGAGCAGAGCTTTCCGCAGATGGTCTCCCACTTCCCGTCCTCCACCCCCGCCCCCCAGGCCTCGGACGGGCACCTTTCCTTTCGCGAACCAAGCTTCTCTGTGGACGCAGAGGGTTTTCTTAGTGCGTGCGTCAGCGGAGAAGGACGTTCGTCCTCGCCTCAGGGAGCCTCAGTTGCTGTTCCCGGCCGTGCGCGGAGGTGCCGGTGTGGCGGGAAGAAAGCTGTGCTGAGCAGGCAGGACCAGGCTGGAACCTTCTCCTCCTTCCTGGAGTCTAGCCTGGTGCTGCCCGACCCAGCAGGCCCCTCGTCCCGGCTGCCTCACCTGGAACACCGGCCGCCGAGGTGGGTGAGGGCGTCAGCAGGGTGCCTCAGCCCTGACTTTCTTAAGGAACATTTTGAAAGACATTTTTGTGCTCTTCCCCGATTGTAGAGAACTTAACTTTTCTTTTTCCTCCGGGCGCTCTTTGAACTTACTGCTCACTTATTAATCAGTGGGGCGAAGACGCCTGGTAATTGTGCAGCGCTTCCTGTGTTCTGAGCACTTACCCCGTGCTCGCTCCAACAGGTATAATTAACTTCACTTTATAGGCGGAGAGGTGGAGACAGAGGGCTGTCCACGAGCAGACATCGTGGCTGCCATCACAGTCAACGTGGCAGCGTGATTGGCAGCATTCAAATTAATGTCATGTTTCTAGCTGTCCATCTGGATTTAAGAATTAAAAAAGAACTTGATCTTTTTCTTTTCTACAGTGAATTTGTTTCTTATTTGCACTGTTGACTGCATAGCAAAAATTTTTGAAAAGGCAGTGTGGGCTCAGGGTGTCCTGTGTTTAGTCTGCTGTCTGTGTTGGTGTGACAGCAGGGGCACCCCCCCCCTTCGTTTATCACTCAGAACCAGGAATCGCGTGCACACTGGTCTCCCCCAGGACCGCGCACAGTGGGGGCCTGGGCCTGCAGGCACAGTGGTCCAGCCCGGCCGGGAGGGGCATTCCGGACGGGCGTTTGTATCAAGTGCAGCGAGCCATGAGTCCTGGGCATTGCTGAAGAGGGTGAGAACGAGCTGGCGCTGTCTCGGGGGACAAGAGACAGGAAAAGCGTTCGAACAGAGGCATGGTGACATGGACAGAGCAGGGCTTGGGCTGGCCGTTGGCTGCACCGAAGGCACGGAGGAGTGCAACATTGCGGGTGTGGGAGGGCCACAGGCAGGTCCCCCCAGAGAGGAGGTGCTCCATGTCATAGGAAGAGGGGAGCAAGCAACACGGTCCAGAGAGTGGCCAAAAGGTGGAGAGAGACTGCTCGCTCCGCCCCACACGTTTGCTGGTGCGGCGTGCGACTCCAGGTCACGAATCTGTCAGATGTCACCCAGCCGTGGGTGGGGTTACTCTTCCAAGCTCCGTAAGGTGTCGTAGCAGAGCGCAGCCACCGCCTGGCTTATTTGGGTCCCCACACATGCTCATGCTCCGATGTGTTACTGTCGCCTGGTTTCGTGATTGTTTTTGTTTTTTGTTTTTTGTTTTTGGACAGGCCACAATTGCTGGTTTGGAAGGATCAGGTGATATTGTGTCTGTTTCCTGCACAGAAAATGAAATATTTCTCTTGAAGGGAGATAGGAACATTATAAGGATTTCGAGCAGGCCTGAAGGACTAGCATCGATAGGTCTGTATTTGTTATAAATGTGCCGTGTGTGTAATTGCCGATTGTAATTTATAAATCTTACCGTTTGGCTAGTTAAATGCTTGTAGCTTTATCTAAACAAGGAAGCACCTGGAGGGTTTCTCATGATTCTTAAGATACTGTTTTAAGTACTTTTCTTGAAGGTTGTCTACTGTACGGCCTACGTCAGACGGGGTCTCCTGTTTGGTACAGTTATGTCCACACGTCTGGGAGGTGGGGAGGATGGGTGAACGGGAGGGAGAACTCAGTGCCCACTCGACTGACCTCTAGCACGCGGGACAGCGTGGGGTCAGCGCTCCAGAAGGTGTAGGTGTGCCTGAGACGAGAACACTTAGCTCTGTCATCTGGGCCTTGCACCCCGGACACAGTGCTCCCTTGTGGCACGGATGGTCCTCTTGGTCCTCCATTTACAGTCTCAGGAGGTGGAGAGAAGGGGGAGTCAGGGCAGGCTGGGATGAATGTCACTGCCAAATCGTCGTTTCTGTAAGGGGAGTAAGCCCTGACTGAGTTTCTGAGCTGGGGATCTGAACAGTATAGTCAGGGACAGTGCGGCTCGCAGAAGGGAAGTGACGCGGAGCCCCGAGGCGAAGCTCGAGACCCCTGCAGCCCAGGAAGCCCTTCTGCTGTGATGAGCTCTGTGTCTGCCCTGTGTGGTAGGCGGCCACTGTCCCCACGTGGCTGCTGAGCACTTGAAATGTGGCGAGTGCAACTGAAGGTCTGGGTTTTAAACTTTGCTTCATTTTAGTTAATTTGTGTTTATATAGTCCGTGGCCAGTGGCTACTGCAGCGACAGTACAGCTCTAGACAGACCTTCCTGTAGCGCATGGAGCCCTCGACAGGTCAGTCCCCTGCCCGGGGCCTCACTCTGCAGAGTCCTGCTCTTCCATTCCCCTGTGTGTGCTCCGGAGCCTGCAGTCTGCCCCTAGTGACCCAGCAGAGAACAGGATTGGCCGTCTGTCCAGGCGATGGCCATGTCTCAGCTCCTAGACGGTGGCCGGCACTCAGTAGATACTCCGTAGCAAAAGGATGGCTGAATGGATCAAAGCGTCAGCAGTCGCATGTTGAGGGGACTGTGGCTGGAACCAGTCTGGCCCTGGTGACCTTCTGGCGTTGTATTCAAAGGACAAATCTGCGGAGTTGGGACACTTGCTGGCTTTTAGTCATGGGGCTGGAGCACAGGGCGTGATGTTCCCCCACCTGCCCCTCGCTCTGCCCTCGGCTTGCTCCAGACGCTGGTGGCTTTAATGAACTTCTCGGTCTTGAGTTTATCCTAGTGGAAAATTACCTTCCCCCACTCAAATGGTGGGAAATTTCATAGGAGACACACGTATATCTTTCAAATGCCCTTTGAGTAATAGTAATATATTCAAGGCCTAGGGTGAGTTTGAGGCAGCACCGTGTCCTTTTAGAGACATGCACGTCACCTTCATAAATTCTTTGTGACTCAGAGATGCTCTACCCCTGGCGGAGTCCCCTGCCTATCGAGTTATTTACCAGACGGCTGTGGTGACTTATTTTACTGGTGTGGATAGATGAGCTTCCTGGAGAACAGATACGTCAGTTGGCATCTCCTGTGCGACTCAGTGCTAGCATCTCTGAGTCAGCGGGCAGGTTAGCGGGAGGGAGTGGGAACATATGACTCTCGGATGAGCAGGACTAAACCGAACCCCTCTTTCTCAGTGCGAGATGCTCTGGAGCCACCGGGCCGCGCAGAGAGGCTGTCGGGGGCCTCGGGGGCCATGGCATCCGAGCCGGGCGAGCCGGGCAGCAGGAGCGGCTCACTCACCTCCACCGACAGCGGCTCGGGGCCCCGCACAGCCCCGGAGGAGCGGGCCGAGGACAGCCAGCCCGCCTCGCAGAGGTTCAGTGTCATCTGCTCAGAAGACTTTGACCAGGAGCTGGTCGTGCAGCCTCTCAGAGTGAAGAAGAGGAGGAGGAGGAAGACAGGTACTCCCGCAAGCCCCGTCACCCCAGGGAGCTCGCGCCCCATCACTGAGCGACAGAGGTCTTTGAAAACAAGCGTGTCCTGCTCAGAGGAGCTATTCGTGAACTAGCGTACGACACAGGAGGGAGCCCTGTGAGGTTCAGATATGGTGTAGGCCTGCGTGCCCGACACCCTGCCTAATGGGTCTGCGTTGCAGCCTTTCCAGCCTTACGTAAAAATTGTGGTTTGTCACGTATACCGTTTACTAGACCAGAGACTTATAGGGGTGTCTGCATGGGCATTTATGTTTAGTGTTGGATGTGATACCAGAGGTGGATAGTCAACTTTTTACTGCTCGGTGCCTACTGAACTTCTCTAGCTAATGATCACAGTAGTATTGAAGGAAAGTGTAATCTGATTCCTAAGCATTTTAATAATCTTTAAAAACTGGTCTGTGATCCGTTTGTTCGTTTTTTTTGGTTAACGTTTCTGAGTGAGGCTTCAGAGCCCATCGCAAGTAGGACATTTGCATGCACTTAAAACATCCTGTGCTGGGATTATTTGTACTTAAGAGATTTATTCTTCACCAGTTAAACACGCTTTATTTAAAATGTATTTTGTATTAAGCCAAAATTGTGGTTTTTTAATTCGTGTCTTTACGTAGAGCCGTACCTCATTTTAAACGTTCTCATTTTAAATTAGAAGGCGGAAGCCGGAATGCTTGCCACAGTTCCCTTGAATCGACTCCCTGCTGTGAGTTTCCTGGTGACAGCCCCCAGTCCTTGAACTCAGACGTGCTGTCCCTGACCTCAAGTTTGGGCAGCATCACGGACCAGTTGAGCACAGAGTCTCCCGACCAGGAGAGCAACTTCAGCAGCGAGGTGAATGGTGTCCTACAGGAAAGCAGTGACCCCGAAGCATTTGGTGTCCTGGAGGTGCCTGAACCCACCCCTGACTTACCAAACGAAGACGGCGACGGCAGAACCGAAACCTCACGACGTGACCGTGCAGGCAAGATGGAGCTGCACGGCGGGGCGTCCAGTTCACTGTCACAAGGCAGGGAAGATGGGGAAGGTGGGGATGCCACAGAGCTCGAGGAGGAGCCTTGCTCTGCAGACGAAGCACCGAATAGCAGACAGTCACCCTGCCAAGAACAGGACAGCTCTGCCGAGGCCCAGGAGGCGGAGGTCTTGGAGCCTGATGAGCCCCGAAGCGCATTTTCTGAAGCCCCCCTCCTGCACTCACCCCCAGTGCCTTCTAGTCTCAGCTGGGCCCCCAATGCTGAGGGGTGGCTGCTGGGGACCAGAGCTGACGAAGGCAGCACCGAGGAGCTCAGCGAAGAGCAGGACTTTTTAATGCACGTGGGGGACCCTGGCCACCTCGGCTCAGATCCCTGGCACAATTTTACCAATGACGACACAGTCCAGAAACCAATGGTCACTTCCAAATGTGACTTGGAAAGTGTGGGTAGACAACTGACTTCATCGGTCTCTGCCTTGGCGGCCAGCACCCACGAGCCTCATCTCGAGCAGCCTTCTCGGGACCAGGTGTTGACGTCCAGCGATGAAGAGGACATCTATGCCCACGGGCTGCCCTCGTCATCCTCGGAGACGAGTGTGACAGAGCTCGGAGGCAGTCGCTCCCTGCAGGACCTGAGCCAGCCAGCCACTGACGACACTGGGCTGCTGAAGTCAGATCAGGTAGGTGGGCTTCTTAAGGGACATCGTTGGCAAACCGATTATTTTTCTTCTAATGGAGAGAAATTATATTCCTCCTGCAGACTCTGGAGGCCAGACGTTTTGCAGTCGGGGTTTGGGGGTTTCCGGCACGGGGACGCGGACTGGCTGGACTCGTGCTGCCCCGAGTGCCCTTGCTCAGCCCGCCTCGCCAGCACAAGTGCCGCCGTTCCAGAAAGCCAGAGGGCGGGACCGTGCCCGGGGCAGGGAGGGGGCTCTGCCAGGTGGGAGCAGGGAGCCGCCTACCTTCCCCTGGGACAGGTGCCTGCGCTGGTCACAGCAGGAGCCCGGCCCATGCAGACAGCTGTCTCCTAGCCTCCGCGCCGCAGCCCCGGGGCCCCCAGACTGTGCAGAACCAGGCTGGGGGGCCAGCGTCCTGTGGGCCCACCCAGCCCATGCTGCTAGGAGACGAGTATCAACTGTTCTTGGACATTTTATGTGAAAAAGTGATTTTTAAAAAGTGCTTTTTCTTAGCAAGTAATTATTATAGAGATATTTGGTTTCAAAATGAACCGTGTGCTATAACCTTACGTACTAAGTAGATGTGAGGCGTGGACTTTGAGTGTGAACTTAGAGCCCCACGTGCACCCCCCAAACGTGCCGCTGGCCTCTCAGTGCTGGTTACGTGTGACATTTGGGTGGCTCTCGCCGTGTGCCAGGCACCATGCTAAGCACGTCACCAGTTTAACTCATTACTTTTCTAAGAACAAAATAGCCATGAGTAGGTGCTGCTGTAGTCCCCATTTTACAGAGCAGGGGACTGAGGCTCAGGACAATGAAATGGCTTGCATGGGTCACGTGGCCAGTAAGGGCAGGCTGGCCCCAGGGCCTCTCAGCCCCTGTGCCGTCCTGCCTCGAAAGGGACCGTCCTGCTTACTGCAGACGATGCCGAAGGGCAGGACCGTCCCTCCTCCCCGGGTGCCTCGGTGGCCAGGCTGTCTTGAGTGCCCTGCGCGTGACAGCCGAGCCTGGATCTCTGTCTCCGAGGAGCCAGACTCGGGCGCAGAGCATCTTCCTGAGTGGGACTCGGGCACCAGTGCAGAGCAAAGCGCAGGACTGCGAGAAGCCACTGCAGGGTGCCCACCAGCCCCGGCGTTACCAGGGGCGTTCTAGACCAGACCTTTAGAAGAGCCCTTCCCCAGCAGAGGGGGAGCCTGGCAGTTTGAGCACCTCTCCCCACCATCACGTCCCCTCCGCCTCTCCGTCTCCAGGGAGCCGGAAAGCCAGGAATGGGGGTTTTGGGGCGGGGGTACTGCCCGACCTGGTGAGCAGAGCCAGATTCTTTGAAGCAGTTAACGTCCATGTGTGAGTAGTTGTGCAAATACATTGATTCTTTTGCAGTTTTAGCAAACTGTTGAAGCACAAAGACCTTACTTAGCTTTGATTTTTAAAAGAATCCTAGCGACTAAACCTTACTCTACAAACTCAGCCAGGCCCAGCATCTTGGACAGAGTTCCGTCAGCCACGCCGTGTGCCTCGTGCCCCACGGTCGGGTCAGCGCTCGAAACAGTGGTGGAAAACAGATAGTGGGTGTGCTGCCGCTCCTGCATCCGTGACAATTGACGGGCACACGCCGACCGCGGGCGGGTGTTCAGGAGCGCAGCTCTGCCGCACGGCCCCCTGTAGGGTAAAACCAGGCCCTTTAATGTACGCGTCACACTGGGAAGGGTGGTACAGCAGAACAAAGTGCAATCCAGGGGCGTGTGGGTCTGCAGAGGGGACAGCAGCTCCCACCTCGAATGCTTCTGTCAGAGAGCAGGAGCAGTCTCTGCGTGGCCTCCCGAAGACCCTTTCCGCTCTGGTTTTAATGATGACCTGCACACTTTTCTCGTAGGCAAGTACAGCTGTGTCACCTGCCACGGCACTCACCGGGCCCTGTCCTTGTTAGTTTGCAGAAAGCTGGATGGGCTACTCTGGCCCCGGCTATGGCATACTCAGCTTGGCGGTCTCGGAGAAGTACATTTGGTGCCTGGACTACAAAGGTGGCCTGTTCTGCAGCGCGTTGCCAGGCGCCGGGCTGCGCTGGCAGAAGTTTGAAGACGCCGTCCAGCAGGTGGCAGTCTCGCCCTCAGGTTTGCGTCCCCAGCGCCCCGCTCCTGCCCCGGTGTGGCTGGCTGGGGCTCACGGTCCCCGCGGCAGCTCTAGCTGTTGAGCACACTTGCCCTTTCCCGCAGGTTTGAGGGGTTGTCTCCAGAGACCGTGCGTTGCTTCACTCGATGTCAGCTAATGTAGTGTGAACGGATGTTCAGTGTGAGGCTTTGGTTTTTTTATAAATTGCAGTGGTAACATAAGAACGTATGTTTTATAAGCTATACAAAGAGTTTGAATTTTGAGGGTTCTTTTTAAGAGGTATTAATTAACATACTAATTCCTTATAAAAATAAAATGCACGTTTCTTAATATTGCTTTAAAGCCGTGGAATTAATGAAGATGGGCCCATGCATATATTAGATGTGTTAAGACTATTTGGTTTCCTTTTGGGAAATTATTTTTAAATGAGATACACAAATAATCTATTTCCTGACTGTAAAAAGAAAAAGCATTCATTCTTGTGCCATGATTAGGCCATTTTTAGCACATCGGAGCAGAGATTTCCTGAAGGAGGTGCTGCTAGGCTGCAGTACGTCCCTGATCTGCACAGAATCATTTGCTGGCATGTTCTGTCATAATGTCGGTCACGTCACCTATTTGGGGGGCGAGTAAGTAGAGCAGCAGTGTTTACGTGTATTTGCCTTGTACGTGGTCTGTAATCAGGACGTGAGAGTGAGTCCGACCCCAGACTGCTCCTCTGACTTGGCGACGGCCGATGGCTCTCCCTAACTCTCCCTGGTCTTCGTCACTGTTTTGAATGCCGTTTGTTCAGGGTTGCTTTGTTCTGTCTCTTCGCTTATTTGAAAAACATTTTTCCTTGGAGACTGAGATCATACCCCACTCCACTAGTCAGCATTATGTAATTGTGAGTTTTAGGTTTTTTTCTGTAATTTGCTTTTGCGTTCATCTCCCCAGCCATTTAGAAACCTTGGTTTTGTCCTGATATTAATTATTTTGTGTTTCCAAACCATTCGGTGCCTTGTCACTCTGGTGAGAACTTCGTCTCCACCGGGTTGGCATTCTGGGCTGGGACGGCTTCGGGGGCGTCAGGCGTGCTGCGGCCCGGCCAGCCACCTCGCTGGGACAGCTTCGGGGGCATCAGGCGTGCTGCGGCCCGGCCAGCCACCTCGCTGGCTCCGGAGAGAACTTCGTCTCCACCGGGTTGGCGTTCTGGGCTGGGACGGCTTCTGGGGCGTCAGCGCGTGCTGCGGCCCGGCCAGCCACCTCGCTTCCACTCTCTCTGCAGTCCCTCGCGCCGCACCCCGCGCCCGTCTGTGCTCTCACTGATTCTCTGGCAGCCCCTTACACTGGGTCACCTGGCCTTTGCCACCCCCTCCATCTTTGTAGAGTGCCCTCCTGCCTTCCCTTCCTCCTTCCCTCCCCTTCTGCATCTCTATTGATCAGAATCCCTTTCTGAGTGAAGAAAGCACACCCCAGCTCAGATGCTTCCTTTTTGGGCATCTTGTCCATTTAGCTGGTCCGGAAGCGGCCCCTCCCTTTGAGTCCCTGTGGGACTGTCAGCCTCTCTCAGGACACTAACGATGCTTATATGGGTACTCGTCTCAGCCACCTGACCGTGCTGGCCCTGCTTCTGTTTCGTGGGACGGGTGCCTGGGAGGCGCACTGATGCGGTCCCCCTCAGTCTGTCTGACGACTCGGTAGAGCAGAGACGGCCCCTCCCCGTTTCGCCGTTGAGGAAATGAGCAACATGGCACCTGAAGCCGCACAGCTGACAGCAGGTGGTGGCCAGGGGTTCAGACCTGGGTGCTACGGGCTCTTTCTCCATTGGAGCTGAAGCAAGGGGGGTATTTGAGGAATCTGCCTCCTGCAGCACCCAGAATGAAGTTTTTTGCGTAAACTTCCCGATATTTTTTGGACGATGACTAGAATTTTCATTTTCACAGGCGCCCTCCTCTGGAAGATCGAACAGAAATCGAACCGAGCTTTCGCTTGTGGAAAAGTGACCATCAGGGGGAAGCGGCACTGGTACGAAGCTCTGCCCCAGGCGGTGTTTGTGGCACTGAGCGATGACACGGCCTGGATCATCAGGACAAACGGAGATTTGTACCTGCAGACAGGTAACAGGAGACCGTGCTCAGGTGCCGTTGGTTCTCAGTTACTGTGCCTTGCTTTGTTGGTGACGCTCTTGGAACAGTTACAGTGATTAAGAGGCCGAAAGTCGATTTAAATTAACAAACTTTAGAAAGAGT